TTGTGAATTTTCAAAAACTCAAAGCGTCTGCTTGAACTGCAGTCAAAACAAGGCATACATCTGATATGAAATGCATGTTGTTTCTGATGTATGAGGTAAAACGTAGTCGTATTTAAGGGTGCTTTAAAAGATAACATGACTCATGACTGTCTATTTTTGTCAGCTTTAATTTTTATCCTCGGAGGAAATGCTTCCATCGACGCATTCCTTATTATGTACACGTGGAAGCTTAAAATTGCTTAAATATGAAATCTATTGACATAATCGCTGGGCGAAAGGGCCCATGTTCTCCTCCAGACTGGATATATAATGTTAAAAACAGAAACACCATCGAATTAAATACGAAAAGTCAACGCACATATCTGATGCTGAAGACAGACAACTATGCTTCCAAGCCCTATAACTCCAGATGTTACACATTATTTGTATTTGCCAGGCCAGTTCAAAGACTTGGGGGTAGTGGGCCGGTATGTTGAGGAAGAAATCTGAAAAAAACATGCATCAGTAATGGGTCCATCAAATGTACCACCCAATCCCTGTCTCAAAGAATAACCTCAATCCTTAATACAACAAAGGAGTGAGTGAACGAGTGTGTGGGTTAATGAATGATTGAGTGGGATTTTATGCGGTTTTAGCTATGTCACGACCAAGGATACAGAAAGGGGCATCAAGGACGTGGGGTATCTTCGGTGACGAACGCTGTAACAACTTTATGTTGCAGAAAGTATTTGAGACAAGCGTAATTGATACCATGTGGATTCTCCAAAACTCTGCTTAAATGTTTTGTTATATCAGAAAAGAACCAAGTTCAAATATGTCAATACATTTGATTATCAACGTTGTACAATAATATTCCGCACGAAATCTGAATTATATATTTCATTCATCGACCCAAGAGCATTTGACACTAAACGTGGTGACCATAGGTATAGTTATATCTTTAACTGCAAGGTTCAGGACAATTTGTCCAACATGAAAGTTAAATTCATGTGAAATGCTGAACCTTACCTAATTGATACATGCTTGCCGTAAAAGGTGACTATGCTTGTTGTAAAAGGCGACTAACGGGATCGAGTGGTGAGGCTCGCTGACTTGGTTGATTCATGTCATCAATCCCAATTGCTTGGATTGATGCTCATGATATTAATCACTGGATTGTCTGGTCCAGACTCGATTATTTACAGACCGCCGTCATATAGCTGGAATATTGTGTGTGCGGCGTTTAACAACAAACAAACAAACAAACTTTTCTTGACTGACCATCACGATGTTGATGTTACTGAAGGATGGAGTTGGGCAGTTATGGATTAAACAATCATATATCGATAAAAGGTTACAATGGCATATGGATACATTAATTAATGATATCATTTGTACAGAAATTAAATGTTACCATTGATACAGTCGGAATCTTACAATGGATTTCTTATGATTATGGAAGGGTTTTGAAGCTTTTAATACATCTTCTGTTATTTTGACTGACCATCACTAGGCGGATGTCACTGAAGGATGGAGTAGGACAGTTATGGATTAAACAATCAAATATCGATCTTAACCATGTCTTTTCACGGAAAATCGTTTTTTGTCAAAACACAGAATATTTAAGTTGGTTCAGAAACTGTTTGTGAAATAATTGGTTATGATCAAGGTATCCGTACATTAGGTTAAATAGATGTCTTCATTTAACATTATTTGGCGATGTATACTCCTGTCATACAAAGTTATATCTAGTTTGATTCTAAGTATGTTTGACACCAATTGCTGTAGCTCTTTACTGCCAACTGTCACATGACTTAAAACCTTCAAGGGTGATGTGTTTACGACAGATAACCCAGTTAAAACATTTCACTATGTCCTTGAATGACATCTTCTGACTTGTAGCATTTGTTTCGTTGCAACAACAAAAATAAAAAATAAACAAAATAAAATAAACAACATTGACATTACACATCATAACTATGAATAAAAACAGGGTTTGTCATGTGAATCTAAATTACCCAGTGCAGTTTAACTTTTTTAAATATTTTATGGGTACTTCTAAGCTACAACTTCTACCAGAACTGTTAATGTTGTAAGGGACACAACTCCTCAAAATAATATTTTTTATCATATAATGGGTGGGTTTCTCGGCAAGATAAAGCCAACGGATAAAGACGATATCCATTGGGGTCATATGCAGATAGAGATGCAAATATCAAAGGTCATGTAGGGACTACTTTCAATGTTTATAAACAAACATGGCGTCGCCCTCGTCATTCGGCGATCGAGTCAGAATTAATCATCGGGAATCTGGATAAACTACAGGGATAATTGCTATCATTATCAAAAGAACAGTCTAATATACTGAAAATCAGTGTCTTACCGTGACGCAGCTAAGGCATTTTATAAGTTTTGGCAACTTTGGAGATATAAATTTCGAAACAATTTTGCGAGGGCACGAGGCCTAGCCAAGCGGGATCAGTAGCCATGACTGTGCTTGTAGACCTCTGCGGCTTGAAACCTTCTCCACAAATTAAAATGGTTGGATTTGGGCGAAACATGTCTGAATTGTTACCTTGTTTCGTTTTGTCGCGGTGTGTACATCTGACTACACTTCTTAACGTTATGACAGGACAGACCGACTGTCAACAACGTCTGACCGTGGCCGTGACGTCTCATAGACTAGGGTTAGAGTAGCTGCCCTTTGACAAAGGGCAGTTACTCTAGCAGACAGACCGATGGATTGCCGTGAAAGGCAATTAAAAACAATTGTCGTTTTGCGCATATGTTGCTTCGCAACTGTATAAGAAACAGATTTCAGTTGGAACTATATTGGCTACTGTCACTGTCCGACTGACACATCACTTACCTAGTGACGTAATGAATATTAATGCGCCCATGTCAGGAAAACTCACAATGTTTCGGTAATGTTTCTGAGAGAGGGAAAGCGATTTTCAAGCACAGAATTAAAGAATGAGCCAAGGCTCGCCAAATACAATGTTTATTCCTAATGCAGGATATTTACCATCCCAAAACACACTCGCGTGATAACCTCTATACATATGTTGTAAACGACTTGACCTCGCTGTGGTGTTGAGCAGCTGCCAATGAGACCTTTTAGTCAACTGTCAATATTACGTCACTATTGCTAGTGGGCTCGGTGGTTTGAGAGAGACGGCATATTTATTCACACAGTGCATTCCAATGCACCGGTGCACTTATTCCTATTTCTATTACTTTCGTCACCACTCGCATCTTTCCGTAACCTGCAAGAAACCTCGTCCCACTCCCGAGGGCCGCCATGCGTCGAAACGGCGTAAGCTAATCAGAATGCTCGTCAGAATATGGGTCCTTCGAAACATGCAGTTTCGCGTATTTAAATGAAATTTGGCAATATGTGTTGTTTAAAAGCTTCGGAAAATGTAGATTGTCAGTCCCACACCGCAGTGTATACGGATTACAGTAATATGTTACACAAATTGATGTTGCATAAAAGGCAGGACGTTGGATGCATACTGCGTTTGAGTACGTTGAGGAAACGGCTCACTTGACTACGACATCCGTTCATTTGAGCTAAAACTAGACCTGTTCCCAAAACTACATGAGTCTAATATCCCTTTGAATAATATCACAAGAGTTGAAAAAAGATGAATTTAAGTAATTAACTAATCACCGATTTCAATACAAAGTATTCACGTAACTCTTTAACTCTCATTATGTGATATTGTGTTGCTGACATGTTAGTCCATTTGCCATATTTACATTTGTTGTTGGTTGGTTTGTTGTTTAACGCCGCACTCAGCAATATTCCAGCTATATGGCGGGGGTCTGTAAATAATCGAGTCTGGACCAGACAATCCAGTGATTAATATCATGAGCATTATTTACAAATTGTTTGTAACAGACCAAGATAGGTAATGCTCCATGAAAGACATAAAACATGAGTAATTTTCATACAGATTAACGGAACATATGTTCGAGTGAAGTATTAGAATTTGTAAAATGGACGTGTAGCTTGAAGAGATGGCTAAATTTGCTAAGGTCACACATATTTTTCATGGTATTGATGGATAATGTCTAAAGTGCACAATTAAAGTGTATGTCAGCTCAGCTGAGTTTAGACATGTTCACCAATGTGACAGCTGTTATTTAAAACCTATGTAAATTGCTCTGTGTTATAAAGATAATGTTGACCCGCTAGCACTGACATTTGTAGAGACAATCCACTTATATATATAACAACTGGTTTAACAATGATGTTTGACGTTTCTTTATTTGCATAAACGCGTGGATTTGTGTGGATGGATTATAAATATCACAATTAGCAGAAAGTGGTACTATATTTAACACGGATTTAATGGCTATAAATATATATTTGGGTGATACCTGGTTCTACACAAACACCACTGTGTAATGAAAGATCCATGTCGCATACCTATATTACTTTAACAAACTGAGATACCTAAACAAAAATACAATTGCAAGAAAAAAATTGATTCCTCAATAAACATTAACAACTATATAATGGTTGGTACACCAGAAATCATTATTATTTCAAAACTTGTAAAAGAAAAAAAGAAAACTATCTTAAAGAGATCAGCTATAAATACATCGAGGATTTGTTGACGAAAATTAAATGAAAAATAGTATGTTTGTTTAGGTCTGTAAATAATCGAGTCTGGAGGGAATAGACATTCCACTGACTGACACCATGAGCATCGATCCACGCAAATGGGATACGATGGCATGCTGTCAGCAAGCCTGAACACCCGATGTCGTTTGTCGCCTCCTTCACCAAGTATGGTTTGCTTGAGACCAATTGTAACCAGAATCTACACCGGTGTGCACTTACTGAAGGAAACCAGGTACTATCTTGACTCATTAACACATATCCACACATGAATCTATTAATCTTAATTTATCTTTCAGGAATCACCAACATGTTCTGATATAAACACCGAAGTACCATGCGAACTTGCAATCTATTCCAATATCTTTCAAAGAAAAACAAATGCAAAAAAAAATCTTCGAATATTTATTTTGTATGACAGCATTGTTTGTATCAACACCACCCAGGACTCCATACACCGCCATAGTATTTTGGGTTCGCCCTTGGAACATGAGAAGGGTCCTGGGCCGGGACACGGGTTTTCTTCCAGTTCTCCAGCCTCTTCTTCATCATGTCCAATAGCTCAGGGTACTTGGCTGAGAGGTCGAAGTGTTCCGTTGGATCTGCAGTAATGTTGTACAGCATGAAGGGAGGGAACTTCTGGTTATCAGCTTGATAAACACGTTCATCAATTCCCAAATGTGGTAAAGGAGCCCAACCATTGTGAGATCCCGGACTTCCTTGCATGAGTTTGAGATCTCCATACCGTATTGCAGCTGCTTCCCGCTTGCCATAGATGTTGTAGACGAACTCATTCCGTTTGGAGGGTCCACCATTGATGAGCATGTCGTACTGACTGACTCCGTCCATGTTTGGGTCTGTGTTCTCTCCACCAGCCAGCTCCAACAATGTCGGGTACCAGTCTACAGCATGCATCATTCCAGTGTTGAGGTAGCCCGTCTTCTTCAAAAGTGTTTTACTGTAGATGAATCCTGTACCTTTCGTTCCCCCTTCCCACAGAGTAGTCTTGGCCCCTCTTAAAGGCAAGTTATTAGCAGCAACATATGTGGGACCACCATTATCGGTTGTAAAGACTAACAATAAATTGTCCATGAGACCTTTGTCTTCTAATGCCTTAGTGATATTCCCAACAGCTTCATCCAAAGCACTCACCATTCCACAATAGACCCTTCTGTTTATGGTTTCTATATTTTTGTACATGTTTTCATATTTAGGTGGAACTTCGAGTGGTACATGTACAGACTGGAATGGAAGGTATAGATAAAGTGGCTTACTATTGTCGTGGTTCTCAATGATTTCAACAGCCCTGTCCGCAAACACATTTGCAGAATAGGTTCCATTGGCGTCTCTTTTGACAGTCTTGTTGACGCGAAAATCCAGCCCCACTTCATCGCTTCCTCCCTGTCTTACGTGAGTAAAGTAGTCCTCTGAACCAGTGTAAAATCCAAGATAGGAATCAAAGCCTCTCTCCGTGGGTGTATATTTCCAGTTACAGAATCCAAGATGCCACTTTCCAACCATGTGAGCATCATAGCCAAGTTGTTTCAGTTTTTGTGGTATTGTTATTAGGTTGGCCGGCAGGTGTTTTGCTTCGTCCAACCCAATAACGCCGTCCTGTAGTCCGGTGTGATAAGGAAAATATCCCGACATGAAGCAGTTTCTGGAGGGCGAACACACAGGTTGGACGTAAGAAGAGTTGAGGATGACTCCAGCTTTGGCCAGTCTGTCCAGGTTAGGAGTGATCATTTGAGGGTTCCGAAATCCAACATCGTTCCATCCGAGGTCATCAGCGACTATAAATACAATGTGAGGTTTCTCTGCACATTCGCAGATAACAAAAGTCAGAAGAATAAAGACAGCTCTTTGGAGATTCATTTTGCTTCTGCTCAATGTGATACATTGTACTTCCATTTAAAGGTTTCCAATAGATAACATGATTTTCGTGACTTGCCTAGAGCATGAATTCTTTCTGTGTTATTACCAGCTGGATAGTTCCCTTGTCAAGATATATACCACAGAATTTATGCAGATGTTGCATGACCTTTTTCACGAAGCCTGCAAGTAAAACGATAACCCATATAATATATGAAATTCTTCAGTCTGAGATGTTTGAGAAAATCGGAAGAACTGGACAATGTTACGACTGCTGAGCATCATTGTTGTTAATATTTTAGTTCAGTGCTCGTATGTGTAATTGTGCTATGTGTTCATTGGACTCAAATAACAATACATTTACACTTCTTCTTTAAAATCTTATCACAGTGTTAATTGTGCATATGAACGGGGCCTACAGAAAAACATCAGCAGACACCAGCCAGCCATGAGCCGTGACCAGGGAACCTATCTGCCTTGTGCTTGGGACTCATTGCTTTGGCTTGCATTTGCCCATTGCTATGTCCATTCTTTCACCAATCAGTGCTATGCCTCATGGCATTTATTCGCCTGATGAAGGAGTAAGCATATACTCCGAAACGTTGTGTTCCTCATAATAAAGAAGTTGACATCCATATATTCTCTTCCTTACACAATAACACAAAGAAATATATGTTCAAGAATCAATGAACACTATCTCTTGAACTTTTTTACTCTCTTAACATAGTGTTAATTGTGCATATGAACGGGGCCTACAGAATAGCTCTATAGCTGGTAATTGTTTATGTCATGGTTTATGTAGTGGACATGTGGGGGACGTGTTGGGCAGGATACGCTCAGATGTTCCTGCTATCAGTACTATTTGATAATGAATCATGAATACATGCTCATGATAGAGTCGGAATCGTATAATAGAAAGGGTTTTGTCGCTTTTATTTACACTTTTACAGCTACACATCTTTTTCTTGAGCGTCATTGTATTCTATTACAAGTAATTGATGTTTTGTGAAGCTTTGACATGTATTAGTTTGGAAGAACAAATGCATTGGGTTAGTTGTCCTGTGTTGTGCACGTTGGTATGTATCTAGGACATGACTGAAAAAAGTCCGGGAGCCGAATTTATTAATTATTCATTGATCATTTGTAGTCATTTATTGATTTCACACTTACGTTCTGTAGATATTGATTCATGGGTTAACCTCTGATTTCAAATTTGATTTGCGGTGGATTTGTCTGATGCAGAATATACAGACAGGCGTGATTGAGCGGTTTTACCTCTTAATGTGGATTTATACAACAATCTTTCAATTATTCACACATTTGACTTGATTAGTGTTGCGTTGATACATTCTGATTTTGGTAAAAGACAAAATATGATTTTGACCGCATTTTTTTCAGGACACCAAGCATGACTCTTTATACATGTGGGAAATGTCAATTAAATGATTACTTACCCGCATCTACTGGTACAATTCATTAAACCAAGCCAAAACCCTATCTGAATCTCACCTTTCAGGTTATACAGAAAACCTTTGTATACTATTGGAAGAATAACAGACACACGTATCTTATTGATCAGGGTTACACCCTTCAAAGCTTCAGCAAAACTTTGAAAAAGTTTATTGTAGACATATGGAGAACATTTCGAAATTTGGAGCATCAGGGACAAAAGTGATGTCTGATGCAATTCCCTGTTTTGACTTCACGACGTGTCCATATGTATTTTCAGGTGAACAATTGACTTGCCTTTAATCGTTTTCCTTTGCTTATAAGTACTAGAATCTCTTTACAGGTACACAGCTGGGGTAATTCAATATTGACATATTGTTTCACTTGCCTTTGCATGCGTTTGTGACGGGTGCCAACGATGGGACAGTATACACTCAACTTTTTGCGAACATCTTGTATCATCACTATTTGATAGTGATTCAGAAACACATGCTCATGGTACATTTGGGAACGTACAAGCGACGCGCGAGAGTCTTATGATTATGGAAATGTTTTATGTCGTATTTCTGTCAGCTTTAATTTTTATCCTCGGAGGAAATGCTTCCGTCGACACATTCCTTATTATGTACACGTGGAAGCTTAAAATTGCTTAAATATGAAATCTATTGACATAATCGCTGTAGGCGAAAGGGCCCATGTTCTCCTCCAGACTGGATATATAATGTTAAAAACAGAAACACCATCGAATTAAATACGAAAAGTCAACGCACATATCTGATGCTGAAGACAGACAACTATGCTTCCAAGCCCTATAACTCCAGATGTTACACATTATTTGTATTTGCCAGGTCAGTGCAAAGACTTGGGGGTAGTGGGCCGGTATGTTGAGGGAGAAATCTGAAAAAACCGTGCATCAGTGATGGGTCCATCAAATGTACCACCCAATCCCTGTCTCAAAGAATAACCACAATCCTTAATACAACCAAGGAGCTAGTGAACGAGTGTGTGGTTAAATGAATGATTGAGTGAGATTTTATGCCGTTTTAGCAATGTCACGACCAAGGATACAGAAAGGGGCATCACGGACGAGGGGTATCTTCGGTGACGAACGCTGTAACAACTTAATGTTGCAGAAAGTATTTGAGACAAGCGTAATTGATACCATGTGGATTCTCCAAAACTCTGCTTAAATGTTTTGTTATATCAGGAAAGAACAAAGTTCAAATATGTCAATACATTTGATTATCAACGTTGTACAATAATATTCCGCACGAAATCTGAATTAAATACTTCATTCATCGACCCAAGAGCCTTTGACACTAAACGTGGTGACCAAAGATAAAGTTATATCTTTAACTGCAAGGTTCAGGACAATTTGTCCAACATGAAAGTTAAATTCATGTGGAATGCTGAACCCTACCTAATTGATAACGTCAATGCGGCAAAAGGTAGGCGTCTCCATAGTGTTCCCCTCCTTGCTGATCGCCGTGCGTACTGGCAACATAAAACAAAATTTAGCCAAGAAGTTTCACTTAAGCTCTGTGACGCATCGGTGACACTAATGATATCCGATGCAATTCCCCATTCAGGTGAACAATTGACTTGCCTTTCATGTGTTTTTGACGGGTGCTACCTTTAGGTACACGTGGTTTCATCACTATATGGTAGTGATTCATAAACACATGTTTATGTTACAGTCGGGATCGTACAATGGACTTCTCATGATTCTTGAAGGTTTTTTTCGCTTTTATCACACGTTCTCCTTTCTTGACTGGACCAGTGAAAATCTAGAGTAGAGTAGGTCTTCAGCAACTCATACTTGGCGTAAAAGGCGACTATGCTTGTCGTAAGAAGCGACAAACGGTATCGGTCGGTAAGGCTTGGACTTGGTTGATGCATGTCATCGTATCCCAATTGCGTGGATCGATGCTCATGGTGTCAATCACTGGATTGTCTGGTCCAGACTCGATTATTTGCAGAAAGCCGTCATATAGCTTGAATACTGCTGAGTGCGGCGTTAAACAACAAACAAACAAACTTTTCTTCGACTTACCATCACGATGTAGATGTTACTGAAGGATGGAATAGGGCAGCTATGGATTAAACAATCATATATCGATATATCGATAAAAGAATACAATGGCATATTTATACATTAATTAATGACATCATTTGTACAGAAATTAAATGTTAACATTGATACAGTCGGAATCTTACAATGGATTTCTTATGATTATGGAAGGGTTTTGTAGCTTTTAATACATATTCTGTTGTCTTGACTGACCATCACTATGTGGATGTCACTGAAGGATGCAGTAGGGCACTTATGGATTAAACAATTAAATTTCGATATATCCATGCAATATAATGGCATGCCATGAGTATGCCAATGACATATTGATACACCACGTAATGATTATCCTTTGTACAAAACATTAATTTTGACATTGAATTGTTGGTGACTTGTAAAATATGGCAGCCATAATTTCCCACAACTCTTAACCATGTCTTTACACGGAAAATCGTTTTTTGTCAAAACACAGAATATTTAAGTTGGTTCAGAAACTGTTTGTGAAAAATTTGGTTAAGATCAAGGTATCAGTACATTAGGTTGAATAGATGTCTTCATTTAACATTATTTGGCGATGTATACTCCTGTCATACAATGTTATATCTAGTTTGATCCTAAGTATGTTTGACACCAATGACTAGGTCTTTCTACTGCCAACTGTCACATGACTTAAAACCCTCAAGGGTGATGTGCTTACAAAGATAACACAGTTAAAACATTTCCACATGCCCTTGAATGACATCTTCTGACTTGTAGCATTTGTTTCGTTGCAACAACAATAATGAATGAATGAATGAATGAATGAATGAATGAATGAATATAATAAACAACATTGACATTACATATCATTACTATGAATAAAAACAGGGTTTGTCATGTGATTCTAAATTACCCACCGCATTTTAACTTTTTAAAATATTTTATGGGTACTTCTAAGCGACAACTTCCACCAGAACTGTTAATGTTGTAAGGGACACAGCTCTTCAAAATACTATTTTGTATATGTTGTAAACGACTTGACCTCATTGTGTAGTTGCGCAGCTGCCAATGAGACCTTTAAGTCAACTGTCAATATTACGTCACTATTGCTAGTAGGCTCGGTGGTTTGAGAGAGACGGCATATTTATTCACACAGTGCATTACAATTCACCGGGGCACTTATTCCTATTTCTATTACTTTCGTCATCACTCGCATCTTTCCGTAACCTGCAAGAAACCTCCGCCATGCGTCGAAACGGCGTAAGTTAATCAGAATGCTCGTCAGGATATGGGTCCTTCGAAACATACAATTTCGAGTATTTAAATCAAATTTGGCAATATGTGTTGTTTAAAAGCCTCGGAAAATGTAGATTGTCAATTTCACACCACAGTGTATACGGATAACAGTAATATGTTACACAAATTTATGTTGTTGCATAAAAGGCAGGATGTTGGATGTACACTGCGTTTGAGTACGTTGAGGAAACAGCTCACTTGACTACGACATCCGTTCATTTGAGCTAAAACTAGACCGGTTTCCATAACTACATTGAGTCTAATATCCAATGTAT